GATCTTCTCCCAATTTTAGCTTTCTGATAAATTCCTCCTCAAGTGATTGGGTCCCTGTCCCCAATGCAAAACCTAAACTGAAGGCCTGATTCTTGGTTTCAGCCTGGACAAACCTTGGCTTAGTGGGGGACGTGTGTGGAATAAAACGGCAGATGGAGGATTTCTTTTCTCTCTTCCTCCTTTCTGCATTAAATAAATAAAGACTAATTTTATTCCCATGACATCTTCAAAACAAATTAAATATGTAAAAATCATAATACAATCCACTTTGAGAAAAGAATGAGGAAATAGATGGGAAAAAGCAATTTTGAAGTGAGCAGACATCTCCTATAAGAATTTACACACACACATATACACTCCTAGCACACTATATACTAATAATAAGAGACAGTAGGAACAATATGACAGTGTGATATTCTGATTTAACAACAAAAAATTTAGCTTAACTTATGGAAGTTCAAACACTATTTTAAAACTAATTAGGTTCTGGAACTAAAATCTAATCCAAAAACTACTAGTTCAGTAAAAAAAAAAAGCTTTAATAACCACTGATCAACTGGTGTCTGCGATGTTAACATGACACCTTTTGCAAAATTTTTGCCACAGAAGGCTAGTGGTATGGGCACACTTGAAAGAAAATCAGCTGACATTCAAGTTTCTACAAAAGCAGCTCATGAATGTATTGGCTGCTTAGTCCTCATTAAGCCATGACATGGAATTCCCAATTGAAAGCAATAATACTGTGGGTTTGCCCAGTAGGCTCTTCCAAGAAACAGTGGGTGGAGACGTGGACTTAAAAACACATTAAACACTCATGTGCATTTTGCACTTGGCTGAGCTGCTTGCCCTGTGACCACCTCTGTTCTATCGGGAATGAAATGCCCACCCTGTCACTTTTCTGAACATGAGGTCTGATGAAGCCCTGGCCTGCATGAGACAAGCCTCCCTTTCCTGGCCTGTTCGTGAGCTCACCTTAGGCTGGGGCATCTGCTGGATTGCTGTGGCCCCCCTCAATCTGTGCCATTCCTGATCGCCCTTGCACATTGACTCTTGACTGGGCAACAGAAGTATGAAACCTGCTTGCAAGCTTTCAGCTTCTTCTCTGGAACCCCTTCCACAGCTTAGAGAAATGCTTAAGCCATTCTGTTGAAAGGTTGAGACACAGCATCCCACCCTAAGCCAGCTGACCAGTCAGCTAACCGGAAGCCAAGAGTAAATCCAGTCACAACCACCAGAACCACCCAATCCTCTTGCAGACTCACACAAATAAAAAAGATGTTTAGGCTCCTCACACTTTAAGGTGTTACACCACAATAGGGCAAGCTTTCTGACTTGTACTATGCTCTGCTGGTGGCCTAACCTGATGGACTGGAGTCAATCACATTAAAGTACAAAATGGAAGACTAATGTGAAAAGTAGTTTCTTTACAAATAGGATTACATTCTTGGAATCTGACGCAAGCAAGCCCTCTCTGCCTGTCCTAAGTAACAAATGGAGCCCATTTGCCTTAAGCTTATGATCTTCTCAATGCAGGTGTTACTATTTATACCTCCATAAGCGACTAATGTCTAAGATGCTTCCTCGTTCATTATTTTTCTCATCCTACCCTGTGAAGAAAATGATTTAACAAAGGCCTTTGTGGATCTGAGACTAAAAAGCAATGTGCTCACACTTGTTTAAGGGCAAACCACAGACTATTCCAACAGACTTGGATAAAGAATGGAAGTCAGTATCTGCAAGGAGCTGGCCTTGTTGTGTATTAGGCAATTTTGCCACCCGGGATTCTACGTGAAAGTCAGTTGGACTCTCAGCTGCTCCAGTTCCAATTCAGCTCCATGTTAATTGCCTGGAAAAGCAGCAACTGGCCCAAGTCCCTAGGCCCCAGCACTCACATGGGAGACATGAAGAAGCGCCTGGCTCCTGAACAGCCCAGCTGCAGCCAATACAGCCATTTGGGGAGTGAAGAAGTGGATCACAAGTCTGTCTCTTCTATGCAAACCCTGTCTTTCAAAAAAAGAAAAAATTAAAAACATGTAAACTTTTTGGTTAACAATCCTGAGACATTTTATCAAATTATATTACTAATTACAAACAGCTCCTAAATTCTTAGAAACAAAGATAATTTCTGACATCATTTTCAAGGGCCCTAAACCAATTTTATGGTCACTTATGCTTAAAGCATTCCAAGAAATGCTGTTAGATGGCAAGTGGCACATACTATTAAGTGTAAGCAGAATGTTTGGCACAGTAGTCACCATTCACAGATTAAAGGTTAATGTCATGAACGGTGAAAGAAAATGATATCCATTATTACGCTCAAAACGTCATGGGAAGTAGTCTCTTCACATCTGCATTTGCTTTGATCAAGATAACGGCCAGTAATGTCCTCACCCATTACTGGCCATGTACTCATTCTAAGCACATCTTCCTCCACTGCATGACACTTGTTTTCAACAGTCCTGGTTGGGTCTCTGCTCAAAGTACTGCATTCTACTGTGGAGTCCACACAAGCAAGTGCAAATCTCAGGCCTCAGTGAGATCCTCTGAAGCTCGGTCACAGGACCTGCCTGGGTCTTCTTTTCAGCCTGCATTCCAACTCAAGGAGTCTGGGAGAGTGGTTTCCTCTTATGTTCATGAGCCTGGCCGCTAGTCGCCAGACCAAGGGGAGAAGCTACTTCACCCATCTCATTCACCCCTGGTAGACACAGCTGCGGTATACAGACAGACCTCAATAAACCCTTCTGAAACACTGACTTTGATGTGATGAATCACACAGCTGTTCTTCCCTTGATATTAAAACTACTCTTCCTGAAGCACAACAATGCTGGATACTGATGAATCATCGCTAATTCCTTACCTCACACTTACCTGTTTTTTCCCACCAGTACATAACTTGAGAATAGGTACTGAATCTTATTCAACTTTCAAAAATCATCAAAGGTAAAAAAGAATGTTGTGTAGGTGTTTCACTTTGTCCTTTGCAAAGCAGTGAATGAAATTATCCAGTTGCTGATTATTGAACTGCTTCATGAAATTCAAATACATGCCAACTTGTCTCACATACTTAACATTTAAAACTATAGTATGTATTCTACAAGTGAGTCAATTTATTTCTCCTGTGGTACACGTCTCCTCTAGGTAGATTGCAAAGATTTTTTTTAGGTCATCCACGACAGTTTCCATGCTTTATCCTCTCCAGTGTGCATACCCTGTGCATCCTGAATGACTCCTATGGGCTCTGGCCCATGACATGAAGTATTTCGTAAATGAGTAATTTTCAAATTATGAAGAGAAATTTTCAAACTACACATGGGGTGTTCTGGCATATTACAATTAATTTCAAAAAAAAGCTCCAATGCAAAACATTTTAATAAGATGTCAAATATACAGTTATTAGGGTTATCTAAATATCACTTATAAAAATTGGTATATCACATTAAATGATTTTATAAAATAAAAACACAAATCACATTGACAATAACCCCTGCAGTCCAAGAACACCCCACATCAATAGTATAATTTACAAATACATTAAGGAAAAAAAGACATGAAGACATTTAAACCAAACTGTGACTACACTAAAAATACATTCATTCATCAAGTAAAATTAATTTAGCATTGCTGCTGATGGTCACTAAGAACACAATTTTAGGTGCAATTTCACATGCTTTCATAAATCTTCCAGTACAGTTCCCACAGTAAAGTGTCTCTGTGCACACCATTTTCATCTATATGCAAGTGTATCACGTATCATACTGAAGACTATTTCACTTCATAAACTGTTTATATATTGCAAGTGAACGCCAGGCCAAATTTAGCTCTAATAACAAAAAAAAAGATAAAAAGTAAAAGCAATTTTTCTCAAAGTACATTCCAATTTGTTTAATTGCAGAAATTATCAAAAGAACCAGTAGGAACTTAAATATGAACCTGGAAAAAGGGAAAGGCTATGGTTACAGCCGCCCTAAAACATTAATAGTAATTTTAAGTAAAAATGCAATTCTTAGTCAGAAAGTAGTTCCATATTCACTGCCAAATTTAAAGTACCAGTGATAAAGACAAGTTTGAAATCTAATGTATTTGTACTGATTTGTTACATACAAAAAATAAAAACTGAAGTCCATTTGTCTGTGACTACATAATGGAATGTTTTTCACAGTAACATTACGCTCAACACTACTCTAAATGGATAGTCTAATTAAACGTACCTTTACCAGCAAGTGAAGTAAAACATTAAGGCTTTCATTATATGATATATAACTACCGCCCAGATTCAAAAGCCAAAAAGAAGTCACAATGCTGTACAACATACTTTCTAACCTCTCTAATATATTGTTGCTTCATCTCAACTTGTGCCTTATCCTTTATTTCTACACAAGCTACAGTGCTAATTCTCTTTCAATGGCTATTTCTTTACATCTCTAGGTCTCCATCCCACTCTATTCAGTAATAATGCTGGAAGAGGTACTGTGGTGGGCCAAGTAATGCCAAGTAATGCTATGTTTATAGCCAATAAATATTTTTGAATGAACTAATGAAGAATGCTGACCTCTGAAGGCAATCCTGTCTCTCCAAAGTCTTAACAGGTAATTGTTACACCTTTCGATGACAACATCAATAATTAAAACCAAAAAAACTTTTTAGATGACTTTAAGGTTATGAAAACACAGCATGTTGTAGCAGAAAGGATAACCAAGGTGACAAATGTTATCAAATCAAGGTTAAAGGCACTGGGTAAGATAATCACATAGCATTGTAAACAATTTTTTAAAGCAAAGTTTCAAAGTATAAAAAGCCAAACTGATAACAGGGAACTACTGAAATAGGGGACATAATTCTTCAATTTCGCAAACATTTTCTTTCAATCTATGTGTTTTCCAATACTTCAAATCTTAAAAAAAAAAAAAAAAGTTTGCATCTGCATAAAGCAAAAAAACCTTGCAAATGAAATATCTCTGGAAACTGTTTTCTTAAGTAACATTATACATTTGATAGTTAGACTTTAGATCTGATATAAACAAAACACCAGGAAAATCACAAAGTATTAAAATTATATCCAAACTCCTTATTCAACGGAACATAGTCTAGAGCCCCTCGATAGCAAACCTGTAGTGTAAAGAGGCATTCTAAGTATAATTCCAGATACATCAAGGATTCAGGAATACAGAGTTTAAACACCACAATCTCCATGATACAGTCATTTAATATACATTTTCATAACTGTTTCTTGAAAAACTATTTAGATAAAATATTAGCATTTATCATTGATTTTAATTTGATCTATGCAACTTCCATCAATATTAAAATATCAATTAATGTAAATATTTTATTATAAAACTATTGTACAATTTAAGTTTTAATTAGAGAAATGTTTTATTCACAGACACAATTTCTTTAAAAGTCCTTTTTATGAATGCATTCAAAGAAACACGCTAAAATCACTATGTTTCCTAGGGTGAAAAAGCTGTAACAATCCCATTACCCCAAATGTTACTCTTACTTCACTTCTTAAATGTTTACACATTCAAAACACATATGGTGAACAGCAATCATTCATCCCCACAGTGGTAAATCTCAGCATAATCAAATGACAAGGACAGTAAAATAGTCACATATAGGTTACATAAACTGATACTTACTGTTACATGTAAGCTTACTTAACATAAAATCAGCATTGGATAACAGTGATAAAAAATGTAAACAAACAGAATTAGATGCTAATCCCTTCCCTGAAAAACAAAAGATAAAAATGCTCCTTTTTAAAAAAAAAAAACATGATCTATTGTATAAAGAAAGTTAACACACAGATTTAACAAAACCACATTTCCGAATACAGATAAATGAAAATCTGGAGCTAAAATGTGCAAAAATATTGATAATACTTAAATTTATTAAATTCATTGTACATAGGCTGACACCAATTCCATACAAAAAAGCCTCTTGTCATGTTAAGATTGAGAATAGTGTTTATTATTTATGCTTAAGGTTTCCTGAACAATTATCCAAATAACAACAACAACAAAAGTCCATATTGTAATGGAAAAAATACAACTAAAAAACTTGAAATTCAATCCCACAAATATCTATAATCAGTACTCATTTGGGCAGTAGAGAAAAAGTTATTAAGTCCACATGAAAAATATTTACATTGATTCTAATAAAAAATTAAAAGAAATCAAATTTTACTGTACTAAAATGTGTATAAATTTTCAAATAATCTTGGTTTAATAGATTTACTAAGCATAAAATTTGCAGAGCACTTGGTACTTTTATGTGGGCTCATATATTTTAAAAGCACCCTCAAGATAGACTTGGGAAGGTAAGAAATGTAAAGTTTTGATACTTTCCTCCATAACATACAAAAAAGGTGCTTAGATTTAAATGTAAATTTGTAAAGTTAGGGGGGAAAAGGGTGAAAGTAATAACGTACAAGCTTAAGACATATTCCAACAATATATAAGCAAAACGTTTAACTGTTTAGATGAACTGGTAGGAAATCAAAGTAAGGAATGACAGAACTGACATCAAATATACCTGCAGATTGAAAATTTAGATGCTTTGGTGGCGAACAACTAGTGACTTTTTGGGAGGCAGTGGGTGTGAAGCAAAGCTAAATATCTGCCTCTCTGTTTCCAGGGAAAAGCAGTTTTGCCCTTGATCTCCAGGGAATTAGTTATTTTGTTGAATGTGACATAAAATTGTTTTGAGAAACAAAAGTATGGATTGCAGTATGCACCAAACTTCATATGATCCACTAATTTATACATGATCTTTCTCTAACAACTTAAGACTGGATGTTGCCTTTCATCACGTAACAGAAATTCTAGGAAACACTACTTGTGGCAATATAAATTCTTACCACGAACAAGTTAAATGCAGCCATGTATGAAGTTTAAGAGAAAAGTCTCCAAATGTTATTTAAAGGAGAAATAAAGCAAATTTTTAATCATTCACCTTTTTGGCACTGCAAATACAGAAAAGTATCACATTTCTTACTATACTTTTTTCTCACTGCCACATCATACATTTCATAATGTAACAAATGTATATTCTCATTTTCCCATAAATGAAACATGTATTAAGAAAATGTTTCATTTCTTGCAAACAACCTCTCTCCTCCTAACTCCAGTAAGAATATTTAGCACTCTCAATTTCAAGATTTTTGTTGTTGTTGTGCATTTCAATTATCTTCTTTAAAGTATTGTATTTTAAAAGATATCTACAGATGGAAATTAAAGGAAAAATCTGCTTTTGGAATGCAACAATTTTAAGTAATTGCACAAAGAAGCACCTTTTGATATGCTGGTCTGACTTTTAATGTAAAACTGAAACAATGAGTGTCCTCAAGCAGAAATTTCTCCAGTTTTAGTCACTCCTTACACAGCAGTCATAAGGATATTAACCTGTGCTTTCTTTATTTTCATAGGTGTCGTAATAACATAGTAGTTTAGATATGGCTCATTGTCAAAGGTGGGTGGACAGAGACTTCATGATAAATTGGCTACAGAATGTGAAAAAAGCTCTTAATGACTTAAGAATGGTTTCCATGTTGCTTGAGCCAAATAGGTTTTTACGCCATGTACCACCACGTTCCCTGCTTAACATTCCTAAGTTTCTTTTTCTTCATAGTTTTCTGACAAATTAGTTTTCCTGAGTAAGATTGTAAAAAAGTTAACCTCTCTACTAAAGTATAAAGACAAATAGAACATCAATGCACAATACAAACTCTTTACACAGCATCAGAGGGGCAGAAGGAGTGATTACTGCTCTTGTGATTGACCACCCCTCAAAAAGACTGAAGCAAAGGAGTCAATTATCTAACACACTCTGAAGTACATTGATTAGATGCTTGAGCCCATAAACATATCCCTCATCTATGGTGTTGCTAGGAAACACATGAGCAAAATCTATCATTCGCACTTCCACTTCTGAAATCTCTTGACAACCAGTAGGAAGATGGTAGAAAACTTTTTCCAGTTGGGAAAGTACATTTCCATTTAAATGCTCCTGTGACAAGCTCTTCCACCCATTGTCTCGCTCTCTACTTTCAACTTTCAGTGAAGTCTGACTGTGATGCTTTTTTGAATACATTTTTCTGTGCCGAGCATACATCTTGGATAAGCTTTTGCCTACTGAGGACTCTATTTTTCCATTTACTGAGGAATTTGACAGATGGAAGTTATTGTTGAACTCCAGTACTTCCGTATCTGACAGGGGTCCTTTGGACAAAAACTTTTCTGCCAAAGTTCTGTCATTAGACTTTGTAGTGGCTATCTGAGATGAACCTTCATAAACAAACAGTAATGAACTTGCATAAAAGTTAAGCTGCTTCTGGTTTTCAAACCAATGAAGAATTTTCTCAATCTTCTGAATACTGGCAGCAACAGCATCTTTTCTTAAGCATAATCCATTATGAAAAAACTTGGAGACTCCTACAAAAAGGAAAACATTAGGATTACCATTAGATTATAAAAATAGGTATCAGTTGAGAAACAAATTAATGACAGAAATAGTTCAACTGTTTCCCTATCATATGTCTTATAATCAATTGAACAGTTAATTATGGCAATCCAAGAACTCTAGTCAGAGAAATTTAATTTTTGGTGAAGACACTCTCATTGGAAAGCATTTCAATGACACTAATGGGTGCCAGTGTTATGATGTAGCAGATAAAGCCAACGCCTGCAATACTTGCATCCTATGTGGGCTTTGATTCATGCCCCAGCTATTCCATTTCTGACTTTGTTCCCTGATAATGTACCTAGGAAAGCACCTGAAGACAGCCCAGTATTTGGGCTCCTGCAACTCATGTGGGAGAGCTCCTGCTTTAGCCTGGACCTGCTCTGGCCACTGTGGCCAGAAAGATCTCTCTTCTTTTTCACTCTCTCTCATTCTCTAACACCTTCAAATTAATAAATAAATCTTTAAAAATGGTCCTAACTTAAGATGAAATATTTCATTTAGATAAAATAGAAGTTTATTACAGAGAGACTGCTAGTTTAGTTATCTATAAAGAAATATGATTCCAAGGTTTGCACCATTTATTCTTGGTAGGGATTTTATAGCAAACCATTTGATTTTCTGGAAGCATATTATACAGCCAACCTAAAACACAGAGCCAAATGAAAATCATTTTAATGATGTTGATAGCCCATTATCAAGTACTCCAGCATATGGATGCCAGTTCAACTTCTGGTTGCTCCACATCCAGTCCAACTCCCTGCTAATGTGCCGGGGAATGCAGAGAAAGACATCCCAAGTGTTTGGGACCCTGTACTTGCATAGGAGATCCAAATGAAACTCCTCGTTCCTGCTTTCAGCCTAGCCCAGGCCTGGATGTTGCAGCCAATGTGGGGGTAGGGGAAACAAGGTGAAACAAAATAGAATATTTCTCTGCTTTTCCCTCTGTGACTCTTTTAAATAAATAAATCTTTTAAAAAATGCTAAATCAAAACAGTTCTATCCAATTTTACTTGTTTTCAGGAATACTGACTAAATCGTGGGTTTTTTTTTTTTTTAAGTTAGGGAATAGGGCATGGACGCATTTAAACAGATGGAGAAAAATCAGCCAGTATGAAATAGACAGGGCACATTCCAGGAAACAGAAGAGGACAGAACGACATCAGAGTGGCACCTGGAGACTGACAGAAACAGGAAAGCAGCGGACACATCGGTGTGGTGTTGCAGTGACAGATATCCCAGTGGCATTCAATGAGTACGATCTGAACTGCACAGGCAGCCAGAACCTCCCTAGCAACAACATGAGAAGGGACATTTACCGGGAGCTCTGGACGTGAACCCAAAGAACTGCCCATCTGCTGCTTAGTTTGATTTGACCAGGAGCAGACAGAGCGGCAGGTCCCATATGGGCAGTGTAGGAACAGGGTAGATTTCGCAGCCCAGTCTGCCCCTAGAGCTGAAACAGGTGCCATTTTGTATAGAGAGGCAAAAGCAATGGGACAGTACTGTGCATGCACAGAGCTGGGAGTGAACTCATTTCTGGCTCAGGGAACTGCAACAACATGACATCCAAGACAGGTTCAAGTAGCCCTCAGGTCTGAGGGCTAGCAGACCAAGAACTCTAGTAGCGGCACATCAGGCGCCATTTCTTATGGTGTGGAAATAATTTAAGATTGCAAGGACAACAGTGAGCAGCACATGTGCAGAGCTGGGAGCAAATTCACTGAGGTCAATGCATTGCACTGGTCCCACAGGGAAACTAATGCCAACATCAGTACCGTATGGGTCAAAATAGGCCGTGTGGCCCTCGGACCTAATGGCCAACATGTTCTGGCAAGATCAGCATCAAGAACAACCTAGCTATATAGGACACCAGGTGTCTCCCTAATCCTGGGACCTGCTCCAACTGGAAGTGGGAGAAAGTTTGTACAGATAATGGTGCAGCCTCAGGAGTGTCACAGGAGGTAGAGAGTGGTGAGCTACAAGCTGGGGCTATGGAGACCATGGTGGAAGTGTAACATAAGAACCCAGACCTGGAATCCGCTGTGTGCCAATCACAGTAAGTAAAATTGAATTGTAAACGCATGGGAAAGGAGCAAAAGCCAACCTCAGAGTTAACTGAGGAATACATCAAGAAAATGGGGGAATGCAGAATTCAAAACACTTGTTATAAAGCTTCTTGTCAACAACAAGAAGCAAATAATATAGGAGTTCCAGAAATTTAAGGAACATGTCACACAGGAAATGAATCAAATGAACGTCAATATTTCAGAAATTAAGAATACAGTGGGACAAATTAAAAGTACAGTGGGGAGTCTCCAAAAATAGAATGAATGAAGCAAAAGAAAGAATCTCAGAACTGGAAGATATTTCCTGTCACCAGGAGGACACAAAGAAAAAACTGGAAGCAGAGATAGGTCATGCTTAAAAAAGTATTCAAAAACTGAAAGACACTATTAAAAGGCCAAATATAAAGAGTTATGGGAGTCCCAGAAGGTGCGGAAAGAGAAGCTGGGTTTAAAGGTGTATTCAGTGAAATAATAAGGGAAAATTTTCTTAATCTAGAGAAAGAATTGAGAAACATCCAGGAGAGGTGGAGAACTCCCAATAGGGTTAACCAAAAGCGATCCTCACCATGACACATGATAAACAAGCTCTCTTCAGTCACTCATAAGAAAAAGATCTTTAAATGTGCACGTGAAAAAAATCAATTGACATATAAAGAAATGCCAATTAAATTCACAGGAGACCTCTCATAGGAAACTCTACAGGCAAGAAGAGAATGGAGAGACATTTTTCAGATTCTAAAAGGGAAAAAATGTCAGCTCAGGATAATGTACCCAGCAAAGCTTTCCTTTGTCTTTGAAAATGAAATAAAATTCTTCCACAGTAAAGAAAAGCTCAAAGAATAAGCCTCTTCCAAATCTGCCCTACAAAAAGATGCTTAAACATGTTCTCTTAACGGAGAAAAGGAATAGCACCCACCAAAGACAAAGGCAAATCTGAAGAACATCCCAGTAAAATAACAACAGAAGACTAAATCAAACAATGAACAACCCATTGCTAAAATGACAGGACCAAATTACCTCCTATTCTTATTAACCCTGAAAGTCAATGGCTTAAACCCATCAAACAATCATGATAGACTTGACTAAAACAAAACAAAACAAAGCAAAAGACACATCCTTTTGTTGCCTACAGGACACATATCTCACCAACAAAGATCAGCGGAAACTATATTCTTAGATTTTTTTTTAGTTGCATCTCTTCAAAACACTTTCTTATTAAATTATTCATTAAATTATTCTTATTAAATTATTCATAGATCATACAGTAGCATCATTTTCTCCAATAAGATTCTCGGTTTTCTTTTTCATTTCTTCAGCAACACATTAGTCATTCAGTAGCATGTTATTTAATTTCATTTTTAATTTCTTCTTTTCTTCCTGTTGATTTTGTTTTGTGGCTTTTCATTTATGGACTCCCAATGATACGGTTAACTATAGCTTGACAATAGGATGCTGGACTCTGCCCCTGCCCATGCCCGCATTGATGGACATATGACTGTTTATGAAGAACTATACCATAGTGATAATACAGGGTAGCTCCAACGAGGGAAAAGGGAACTTGGGGAAGGAGCAAGGAAAATCCCAGGGCAGTAGCCTAGTGGCTTAAGTTCTTGCCTTACATGTGCAGGGATCCATATGGGTGCCACTTTGTGTCCTAGCTGCTCCATTTCCTATCCAGCTCCCTTCCTGTGGTCTGGGAAAGCACAGCCCAAAGCTTTGGGACCATGAACCTGTGTGGAAGACCTGGAAGAGGCTCCTGTCTTCAAACTGGCTTAGTTATGGCTGCTGTGACCACTTTGAGACTGAACCAGTGAATGAAAAATCTTTTGTCTCTCCTCTCTGTAAACTGACTCTCCAATAAAAATAAGAAAATCTTCAAAGGAAAGAAAAGAAAGGAAAAGAAAAGAAAAAAAGAAAAAGAAAAATCTGAGACTTACAAATGCTATCAGTTGCCATATTCAAGCATCTTCTAAAATTATGCCTGGTTTACCATATGCAGGAACTTAAAGGTATATGTAATTTCATTTCTGTTTTTAAATCATTTTTTTCCTCCTTGGTACAGAAACTATTTAAAAAGAATTCCAACTAGAATTAAGCAACTAAAATTGTTGCTTAAGATAATTTAAAAATAGCTAATCTGGGTAATTATCTTGCTGCTGAGTAAGTATACCAAAGCAAACAATATTTTCTAAGTTCACACTGTGGATGGTTTTTTTATATATGTAAATAAAATTTCTTCCATAAACTCTGCAGAGCTCTTCTTTATCTCAGCAGATATACATAATCTTCTGACATACTATCATTTCCAGAAATCTAGGCTCACTACCTCTCCTGTATCTCAACCACAAATACTTCAGAAGCATATCTGTATGCTAACAGACTTTATTTGAATGCTTTTAATGCCCCTGATTTTTCATTACAACATTAAACTGTAAATGGGAAATCTAGTAAAACTTTAGTAAAAATACATGCTACAACATTTTGAAGGCTCTTATGCAATGGCTCATTTCAACACACTACTACCTCTTATTTAAAAAATTACTCTAGGGGAGAGCATTTGGCATGGTGGTTAGGATGCCACTTGGGATGTCCATAGTCAGCATCAAGGTGACTGTATTCAAGTCCTGACTCAGCTTCTAATCCAGCTTCCTACTGAATGCCCACCGTGGGAAGTACCTGAATCCCTGCCAAGCATGAGAGAGCTGGATGGAGCTGACAAATACGACACTTCAGTCTGGCCCAGACCTATGCAGGAACCTGGGGACTAAACAAGCAGACAGATGCACTATATGTAGTTCTGTATGTGTCTCTGTCATTTGCCATTCAAATAAATAAATCTAAAAGTAAAATATAATTTAAAAACTAACTCAAGTCCAACATTTAGCCAGATAGTTGGTTCACAAACTTTTTTTCCAAAAGCATAAAAATAACAATGAGAATGAAAGAGAGGACTGTGGACTCATGGTTTGAGTATCATTAACCCACTTTTATAAATACAAATTTTTATTTAAAAAAATGGTTTATTTTTAATATAGTCATTATTCCAAAGAGGAACTAAAATATCTTTCGAATCATTTTAACTACTCAAAAGTATTTTTAAAAAGCATCATTCACTTATTAGAAAGATGGAGTTACAGAGAGAGAGAGAGAGAGAGAGAATTCCATCCATCGGTTCACTCTCCAGATGGTCAAACTCGTCAGGGCTGACGCCAGGAGCCAGCAGCTTCATCCAGGTCTTCCCTGTGCATGGTGGACACCCAAGTACCTGGGCAATCCACTGCTGGTTCTGCCAGAGCATGGGTAAGCAGTTGGATTGGAAGCAGAGTGGCCAGCATCACAGGCAGCAGCTTTACACACTGCAACACAACTCTGGTCCCAATAAAAGCATTTGAAGTTTCTTACCATCCTTAATAGTTTCTTTTGTTAAGCTTCTTCCATAGTGCTGGTTCTGTGTCTCATAGCTATCAGAATGAACATGATACACCTGTCAAAGACAAGCAGTTATTGTTTAAAAAAAAAAAAAAAAAACAACTACCAACTCTTGACCACGAGGAGATGATGCCAACCACACAAAGGTGAAAGATGAGAGCTACTCATTCTAACAGATTTCTAAAGAAAAATAAGTAATGCTCATAAGAATCAAGCAGAAAGGCATTTAGCAAATTATATACCATTAATAAAAATGCTTGCAGATAAGCAGAGATGAATATTTCCAATATTAACTGAAGTGCAAATGGAGAATGAGGAAGCATTTCTTTTGAAATGGAAAAAACTTGCAAGAAAAGTGTTCTGCTACATTGTCTTTTGTAATTATTATCTGACACTATTGTGGTGTTATTAGCAAATGCAAACAGAAATAATAAAAGAAGAGGCATCATCATGCACATAAAGTGACTGCACACTGGAAAATATGCTTAAAATGAAAACAAACAATAAAAACTTAAAATGGTGGTAATGCACACAAATTAGTAAACAGAAAATAAGCTTCACATATACAGATAACCAGTTATAAAGTATACAGAAGACTCCACCTGCAAATGCAAAGAACAAAACAGCACAAGATCTATGTAAAGACATCTTTCAAATATTCCTAAGGGATATACCCATGTTCTCAGAGAAAATTCAACATTATAAAAATCACTTTTAAAGCTCTAGTTTATCAACAATGAGAGTGAGTTAACAATATTTAAACCCGGCCCTGGCACCGTGGCCTAGCAGCTAAAGTCCTCACCTTGAACGCGCTGGGATCCAATATGGACAATTGTTCTAATCCTGGCAGCCCCACTTTCCATCCAGCTCCCTGCTTGTGGCCTGGGAAAGCACTCAAGGATGGCCCAAAACCTTGGGACCCTGCACCAGCCCAGACTCAGAAGAGGATCTGGGCTCCTGGCTTTGGATTGGCGCAGCACCGGCCACTGAGGTCACTTGGGGAGTGAATCATTGGAGAGAAGATACTTCTCTCTGCCTCTCCTCATCTCTCTCTCTATATATATATATCTGACTTTGCAATAAAATAAATCTTAAAAAACATATTTAAACCCATAATAAATGTGTTAGTGATTTCTTCAGCCAAACAAGCTAATTCTAAAGTTCACAAAAGAACCAAAAATAACCAGAAGAAATTCAAATAAAACAAAAGCAAAAAATAGCCAAAAGAAATCTAAATTAAAAGATAACACAAACATTAAAATATATTTTAGAAGGGCCAACACAATGGCTCAACTGGCCAATCCTCATATCGAACTGTCAGCATCCCGTATGGGTGCCTTTTTTTGTCCTGATTGCTCCACTTCCCATCCAGCTCCCTGCTTATGGCCTGAGAAAGCAGAGGAGGATGGCCCAAAGCGTTGAAGTCTGAATCCATGTGGAAGACCTGGAAGAAGCTCTTGGCTTTGGATCAGCTTAGCTCTGGCCATTGCAGCCATTTGTGGAGTGAACCAGTGGATGGAAGATCTTTTTCTCTCTCTTCTTTCTCTCTGTAAATCTGTCTTTTCAATCAAAATAAATAAATCTTAAATATGCATATTTATACACAAATTTATGTATGTTTATATATGTGTATGTATATTTATACATGTGTGCATGTTTATATGTATTTTATACATATTTATATATTATTCATATGTATTATTTATATATTTATATGTATTATATACATATATTTATATATACATATATGTATATTTAGTCATATGCATGAGAATTATGTAGTAAAGATATTTACTTTAAATCAGTGGAAAATTTATCTATCATATAATATTAGTTTGATTAAATAGTCATCTGAATGAAGAGAGAAGGTGTGTTAATACAATATGCCAGGTCAAAATCCAAATGCATCCACCACCAAAATATACAAAATGAAATGCTGACAAGGCCCGCACCAAAATGCTGAAGACTGTGACTAAGTAATCATCAGGGAAGACATTTCTAGTCAAACCTCAAACATTTCAACCACATTTCACTTTCTTTTTTTTGTAGTATGAACCATAAAACTATGCATCTTCTCAGAAACTTCCTAAGAAAACAGATGAGTGGAAGAAATCACTTTACAAACAACAAAAATTATGTATGATTACAAGTATAAAAAGTGTTAAACACATGTAAAACGTGTTTTTAAAAAACCCTACCAATAAAATTGTCCCTATTCTACTATTCAGGAGTACATCATCTGAGCCAGAATAAGTTTTACATATGAAAATGTAAATTTCACAGAGAGAGAACTAAATGGTTTCAGCCAAACACTGCACTTTAAATTTTCCTGTTTATTTCTATCTCACTAAAATGAGAATGGAAAGAGACCTGAAAGTCTCTCCACCAGCACCAGCACCAGCACTCGCAGGAGCAAAGATACTCAGCAAGCAAAGTTACATTCTAATTGAAAACATAAATATATGGCAAAAATTGTATCTTTAAAAAAAAAAGGGGGGTGGGAACACTGGGAGAAATCGGTAGGTGGAAAAAGCAAACGGAAGCTCCAGCACTCCGTGAATCACACTGAGCTTACTGTTCATGAACTTAGCGATGTCGGAAGCAGATTCAAGCATCTTAACACACATATATAATCAATTTATGAGAAAAAAATAGTATCTCACACAATTTCAAACAGAAATATACAAGAAAGAATCTGATTTTATAGACAATGTGTTCACGAACATCAAACGAGAGGTATCTTTTCAGACAATGAGGAAACGTTACCTCTCCCCAAAGCGTGCTTTTTGATAAAAAAAATTTTCAGTTGTCAAAATATACTAGAACACTTAAAATGAAATCCTTTAATAATTTAAATCATACATTTTTTAATTGAAGTGAACGTCTACAAATTATATTTTAAATTACTTTTGAAATCAACACAAAACTGGAAAAATCAACAATCACATATACAATAATTAAACCCATAAGGAAACAATTTCAAAACACAAAATCTACTAAATCCCAAAATAAGATCCTGTTATCAGTAACTTTTCTTCAGTATGGGTCTTTTAAGATGATATATATTCCTTCTAGCTCATTCCCCTATACTCCTGTGTCTTTACATAAACTCTGTGTTAAAATATGCTCTGCTGCATCTTGGCTTTACAGCTATTACTATCTTTTGTCAAAGTTTAAAAATCCCAACCAAAATCACTCTATACCCACTTCTTTTTGATATCTTTTGTTTTTAAAGGGTTTTTTTTTTCCTATCCTTTATTGCATATATCTTAATAAACCACACAAGTTATTGGAAAAGAACAAAGCAGAAAAACTTAAGAATTCAAAACCTACCCCCCTCAGATACTTGAATGAAGGCAGGGTGGCATGGGGTAGCAATAGGCAGTATGAGTTAAGTAGAATTGAGTCTAAAAATAAGTTCTCAGTTATGCTTTATTTATTCATTATTATTATTATTTTAATTGGAAAGGCAGATTTACAAAGAGAAAGATCTTCCATCCACTGGTTCACTCCCCAAGTGGCCACAACAGCCAGAGCTGAGCCGATCCAAAGCCAGAATCCAGGAAGCTCCTCCAAGTCTCCCATGCAGGTACATGGTCCACAGGCTTTGGACTGTCCTCCACTGCTTTCCCAGGTCACAAGCAGCGAGCTGGATAGGAAGCGGAGCAGGGGGGAATACGAACACCTGCCCAAAGCGGATCCCAGTAAATGCAAGGCAAGGATTTAGTCACTAGGCTTTCACAATAGAGCATGGTCCATTGACTTTCAATAAGAGTGTCAATACCATTCAGTGGAAGGAAGAATACTTTTTTCAACAAATGGTGTTGGGACAATTGGACATACACATGATGTGAATGACATTCAACCCTTTTCTCACAGCATACACAAAAACTAAAGTGTATTATAGATCCCAACATGAAAACAGATTCTAAAAACATTCTTACAAGATTAGGCAAAGATATTATTGACATATATACTGCAAAACACTATGCTGTATTAGCCAGGTGTGACCGCCAAACAGCTAACGTCCTCACCTTGCACACATCGTTATCCCATATGGCACTGGTTGGTGTCCTGGCTGCCCCAGTTCCCATCCAGCTCCCCACTTAAGGCCTGGGAAAGCAGTAAAGGACAGCCCTAGCCCTTGGTACTCTACACCCATGTCAACCTAGAAGAGGTTCCTGGTTCCTGGCTTTGGATCAGCTCAGCTCCAGCTATTGTGGCTACTTGTGAAGTAAATCATTGGACAGAAGATCTTCTCTATCTCTCCAACTCTCTGTATATCTGACTTTGCAATAAAAATAAGTAAATCATAAAAAAGAAGAAGAAGAAACCAGGAGAGAGGGTTGCTTTAGGGATAACAAGAATATTTCCAGGAGGGGCCCAGGGCAATAGCCTAGTAGCTAAATCCTAGCTTTGCATGCCCTGGGACCCCATATGGGTACCAGTTCCTGTCCTGTCTGCTCCACTTACCATCCAGTTCCCTGCTTGTGGCCAGAGAAGGCAGCAGAGGACAGCCCAAAGCCTTGGGTCCCTGCACCCACAGGGGAGACCCCCAAGAGTCTCCTGGCTCCTGGCTCCTGGCTTTGGATCAGCTCAGCCAGTAGAGAATTTTCTGTTTCTCCTTCTCTGTAAATCTGCCTTTCCAATAAAAATAAATACATCTTTAAAAGAAAGGAATATTTCCAGGAAGACTCAGTCATCTGTGAAGGCTGCTTTTCAAAGTAAAATAAGGTGAGTAATAAAAACTGCTTGTTTAATAACACGGGGATATGATTAATGACATTAGTGAGGAAGCAATCTGGCAGTGGGCAAAGGTCTCACTGAATGGGCTGAATTCTGCCTAGCAAGCCAGGAAATTGAAAAAAACTAGTCTGCAGCTGTGACGGGCAAAGAAGTTAAATCCATAACTACAGAACATGGCAGAGTAAAATCGGGTTTTTTTAAGATTTATTTATCTGAAAGATAGACTAGGCTCATTGGTGAGCTGGACTGAAAGCAGACCCGCCAGTGAAGTAACCTAAGTCATCTCAGTGAGTCATCAGATCTCTGCAGTCACATGAAAGATCCTAAATGACATCAGAAGAACTGCCTACGTGAGTTTGCTCAAACTGCCAATCCACAGAATTGTGAGCAAATACAACAACTGTTTTTAAACTCCAAAGTCTGAGATAATCACCTGTTTTTTGAATTGATATTTTGGAAACATAAGAAAACATTGATGACAAAGAATTCTTCTCTATTTTTGATGTAATATTATCAAAAAAGAGTAAACTTTAAATATTTATTTTGCACCTAACTTTAAAACTTCTTTAAAACAAAATTACAGGGTCCAGGGCAGTAGCTAATGGCTAAAGTCGTCGCCTTGCGTGTGCCAGGATCCGATGTGGGTGCTAGTTCATACCACGGCTGTTCCACTTCCCATCCAGCTCCATGCTTATGGCCTGGGAGGCAGTCAAGGATGGCCCGAGCCATGTGGAAGACCCAGAGGAGGTTCCTGGCTTTGGATAGGCTCTGCTCTGACCATTGTGGCCATTTAGGGATGGAGGATCTTCCTCTCTGTCTCTCCTTCTCTCTGTAAATCTGATATTCCAATTAAAAAAAAATAATAAATCTTTAAAAACAAAATAAAACAAAATTTGATACTACCATTTTTTTTAAATTGCCTCCTATAGGTCAGCACTACTGAGACAAAGATTCTGTCTCAGTTACAAAAAAATAAAACTCTCTGGCCTCACGGAGCTGACACACTGAGGAGGTATCAACAGCTGAATCCCAAAGACATTCTGTATTTCAATACATAAGCATTACAAGGACAGCCATAATTCCAAGAAAGAACATGTAAAGATACATATGGGTATTTTACTGATAATCATTCTTACCCTCATGCCAAGCACCAGGAACCCAATCTCTTCCATTAGCGGGTACTTGCTGACCTGCTGCTGAATCTTCTCGGATGATGCAAAAGGATCATAGCTTTTTCGTCCAATCTTTACATCCATTATACAAGGCTTATTAAATCTGTGGGTCACATCTTCCAGTTTCAGATATAAATCTGTGATTAAAGAAAAATCATAATTAGTAAAACGTATTAATACAAAAGTAACTGCTAGGAAAACAAAACGAAATGTTAGAATAAAAAGTTAAAATCACTGGATTTAAAAACTGGTATGACTCCAGTTGAAATCAAGACTAACCAACAGGACCTGGCGCAAGGGCTTAGAGGCTAAATCCTTGCCTTGCATCTGCTGGGACCCATATGGGCGCCAATTCAGGTCCTGGCTGCTCCACTTCCCATCCAGCTCCCTTTTTGTGGTCTGGGAAAGCAGTAGAAGATGGCCCAAAGCCTTGGGACCCTGCACCCACGGGACAGATCCAGAAGTCATCCCTGGCGCCTAACTTTGGATAGGCTGAGCTACAGCCATTGTGGCCACTTGGAGAGTGAACCAGCAGATGAAACATCTTTCTCTCTGACTCTCATTCACTCTGTAAGTCTGCCTTCCCAATAAAAATAAATAAATCTTCAAAAAAAATTCTTCGGCTGGGCATTTGGTACAGCTCTGGCATAATGGATTACGCTGCCACCTGAAGCACTGATGTCCCAGGAGCCGTGGCTGATCCTGGGAAAGCAGCAGAAGATGGCCTATGTATTTGGGATCCTGTTACCCTAGTGAGAAAAGAAGATGAAATTCCCAACCTAACTGTTGCAATCATTTGGAGAGCGAACCAGCAGATGGAAGATCTCTGTCTCTCTTTCTCTAACTCTGCCTTTGAAATAAATAAATGAATTTTAAATTAAAAAAAAAATCTGCTTAGGCTGCTCACATCCCATGCAGCAATGTTTGGGTTGCAGTCCCAGATCTGCTTCTGATTCCAACTGCCTGCTTATGTGTGCCCCAATGGGTAGTAGATGACGGCTCAAATAACTGGTCCCTGTCATCTGTACAGAAAATCTGTTATGGGTTTCAGGCTTCTGACTTCACATTTGGGGAGTGAATCAGTAGATAGATCTCTCTGCCTTTCAAATAAAATGAAGATCCTGCTTTTTTTAAAAAAAAGATTTATTTATTTTTATTTGAAAGGCAGAGTTTCAGGATGAGACACGGAGAGATCTTCCATCCATTGGTTCACTCCTCAAATGGTCATAATGAGCTGATCCGCTACTTTCCCAGATCATAAGCAGGAAGCTGGACTGGATATAAAGAAGCCAAGAGAGAAACCAGCACTCTTATGGGATGCTAGCGCTGCCACCAGAGATTTAAGCTCCTACACTAAAGCTCTGGGTCCCCAAAAAAGATATTGAGTGTCTATAAGTTAATTATCAATACATCTACACCTTACCATAAAGTTATTATTCTTTACTTGTCAATGGGTAGAGACTTTAAAAATGAAAAAGCTATTTCTTTTTAAGACAGAGATGACAAAAGCTAAGGTGTGAATATAAAAATCCCAAGCCTAAATACAAAATTCCTATTTCTACACTTGATCTTAGCCAAAAGGCAGAGAAGCGATAAAATTCCTATTTCTTTCTTCTTCTCTTGGAAAATAGAAATACAAATGTAGACTCTGCCTACGGTTACGTACAATGTTTGCTGAATGAATAATGATTTGCCTTCTTAATCCTACTGCACAGAACTTTGAACCTGGCCTTCCTTATAAAAGATAAATTAAGCCATTCCTTCAGTAAATAGTACTTTCACAGCTCTAATTGCTGTTTGTTTTGATTGGCCAAAAATGCTTTTCTTAACCTCATTTTCAGGTTCTCAGTATATTAAATACAACTGCATTTACTAACTTACTACTAAATTACTTATTCTTAACCTTCAGAAGTAAAGTTTTTAAGTTAAGAACTATTGAATTAGGTCGTTATTTGCCCTTAGTTCTCTGATCTATCAAAGTTGTTTTATTTGTTGTTTGTGTGTTCACTTGTCCGTTTTGTTTTTTACAATTCATTTATTTATTTGAAAATATCACACACAGAGAGTGCTCTCCTATCCACTGGTTCACTCTAAATCGTCATAATGGCAAGGGCTGAGGACCAGGAGCCAGGAACTTCATGTGGGTCTCTTACAGGAGGAGCAGGAGCACAAGCACTTGGGCTCTCTTCCACTGCTTTACCAGACATGTCATCAGGGAGCTTGACTGGAAGTAGAGCAGCCAGGACTCACTCAAGAACCACATGGTATGCTGATATTGCAGGCAGCAGCTTAACCCATTGTGCTACAGTGCCTGTCCCCGACACCTTGACTTTCATGTCACTTTTGGCATTTGTCCTTCTTGTTTAAAGTTTAATTGTAGTCTGCATGAGCCAGGATGGGGGCAGACTGAGAAGGACCAGGTGTCAGCACCCTCCAGTGAGAGTTAGGACTGGGGGCAGACCAGGTCAGGCCAGGCTACAGCATCTAAAGGCAAAGACACATGTGAAGGACTATGCCAAGATGGGTCAAAGAAACCATGCGCACAATCTACGGCTGGGGATAGGCCTGGCTGGGAGCAAAGGGGATGCCCTGGCTGGGTTGTGGTTCACACTGACAACTGCGAAGGCCAGATTAGGGGCTGCTGTCTAGTCTGGGCACGGCTGCAGTGTCTATAAGCACAAGTGTGGACTGATGTAGTGTGGTGCATGTTACTACCATGCACCAGACTGGGCTAGACTCCAGCACCCATTGGTGCTCATGAGAACCAGTGTGGGTATAGGATGGGCTAGGCTAGGTCTCTGCCCATGCAGAGCCAGGTGTGAACTGTGGCTGGGTGTGGACCAGGCTTGCTAGCCTGAAACACCCAACAGTTAAAACCAGAATGGGCTGAAGGCCAGTCAGGAAAGGCCACTGTTCCTGCTAGGACAGGAGGTGGACTAAGTAGGGCTGGCCATGAACCCACCAGTGTATGTGAGATCTGGCATTGGGAGAGGTTCTGATGGAGGAGTTTGGGCAACTCCTCTGGCAAGACACAGTCCCTGCAGGTGAGCACAAGAACCATGATAGGGAGCAGCCCCGACAGGGCCATGGAATGGTACCCAGCAGCACCATACATTTGGCTCAGGTTGGGGGCAAACCAGGCAGGGCAATTTCATATCATCCGCTGGTGACCAGAATGGAGTGTGGATCGGGCTGGGTTGGGCTGCAACACAAGCCAGTTTAAATAATTGCCTTGAAATGATAGTTTGAATAATTGCTTTGGAAACAAGGAAATTAAGTTCAAATTTTAACTCAATGATTTCTTATGTTAGCATGTGACCTCAGTAACATGTCTAAAATTTAATCATAAGAAAAATGGACATTATTAAAAACCAAAGGAATATTACAAAGGCTAAATGATATTATAATGTGAAGGGGAAACAAAAGGGGAAAAAAAGGAGAGAGAGAGAGAACGAAGGAAACACAGAGAAGGGAAGGGGGGAGAGAGAGAGATGGAGAAGGGAAGATAGGAAGAAAGGGTGAGGGGAAAACAGAGAGGGAGGAGAAAAAGAAGGGTATTGGGGAGATATGAGAAAGGGAGAAGAAAAGAGGGGAAGAGGAGGAGACAGGGAGAGAAAGAGAAGAGGAGGGAGGAGATCTTCTACCTACTGGTCCACTTTCCAAATGGCAGCAACAGGTCAGTGTTGGGCCAGTTTGAAGCCAGGACTCAGGAATTTAACCTGGGTCTCCCACACTGGTAGACAGGAGGACACCCTTGGGCCCTTTCTACTGCTTTCCTAGGCACATTAGCAGGAAGCTAGACTGGAAGTGGAGCAGATAGGCTGCTGATGTTCAAGGTAACGGCTTAACCCTCCATGCCACAATGCTGTCCTCTATAATTGCTTTTTCTAAAGAATGCAGAAAACTGGCATTATATTTATTATAAAATTTGGTGCCTATCTCGCATTCATCACATACGCTAATTTTACATGCAAACACATATAAATACTAAACGTGCACATGACTGTTAAAAGATGCAGCTGCAATTCGATGAGACAGCTGTCAATAGAAACTATCCAACCCTGAGGTTACTACCACGCCCCAACCTACAGTTACTAAATACTAACAAAAACATGTACTTCCTAGGTATTAATTTTTATCTCAAGGTAAATATTTTATCTTAACATCAAAATATCATCTGATCTCTAACCTTAAGAATGCCCATAATGTTGCTCAGATGTACACTGATGTACCCAAATCCACCCGCTTTTTGGTCCTCCGAGACCACTGTTTCACTCTTTCAGACTCACCTAGCACTGGCCGGGATTCCATATGGGCACTGGTTCATGTCCTAGCTGCTCCACTTATCATCCAGGTCCCTACTCTGGCCTCAAAAAGTAGCTGAGGATGGCCCAAAGCCTTGGGACCCTGTGCTCACATGGGAGACCCATGGAAGGATCCTGGCTCCTGGCTCCTGGCTTGGGATCAGCTTAGCTCCAGGCTTGCCGGATACTTGTGTTTGAACCAGTGGACATGTGATCTTTCTCTCTGTATATCTGCCTTTTTTTTTAAAATAAAAATAAACCTTAAAAACAAAAACAAAAACAAAAAAACCCCACTGATTTTTTTAAAAGAGGTATTTTCTGTGTTTTTTTCTTAAATTATTCATCTGAAAGAGACAAGAATCTTCCATCCACAAGCTCATTCCTCAGAGAGCCACAACAGACGAAGCTGGGCCAGGCTAAAGCCCAGGAGCCAGGAACTTCATCCCAGTCTCCCATTTGGGTGCAGAGACCCCAGCACTAGGGCTGTATTAATACTCATTATACTCATTATAAAATACTCTCTGTATTAGCAGGGAGCTGGACTGGAATTGGAACACGTGCAACTCAAGCCAGCACCCATTTGGGTGCAGGCAGTTGCTTTATCCATACGCTACAACACAAGCCCCAAGAAAAGTGATGCTTACATTGATCTTTCAGTACTTCAAGGATCAATACTTATAAATCCCAAATCTAAGAGATTATCTATACATTTCAATATAAGTAAATAAAATAATCTCTAACAGACTTCATTTTTAGAGGTAACAATAACTATAAATATAGTTACGCTTAGGACACTATGATCACTAATTTAATGTTTATCACAATTTATACAAAGCTGGGGGAGGCACAGGCACAGCAACTAAAATGCTGCTTGTGGTCCTGCCTCTGAGTTCAAGTAGCAGCTCAATTCCTGATTATGTCTTCCTGCTCCGTGCACCCTGAAAAGCAGCACTGACAGCCCAAGCAGTTGGGTCCCTGCTAAACAAGCAGGAGACCTAAACGACATTTCTGGTTCTTATCTTCAACCTGGCCCTACCCTTCTTCTTCTCTACCTTTCAAATAAATGAAATGCATAAATAAATTTAAAAGCTTATGGAAAGCATATGTAGAATTTCTATAGTTCTTCAATTTTGAGAAGACAAAGAACAAAAAAAAAAACTACCAATTGTTCCAACACACAAATTTTACTCTTTTTTAAGTGAAGCATTAAGATTTCACTGTGGCTTTTATCAAGGGCATTGTTAATATTTATAATATATCTAGTTGCTCCATGCCTTTGATCAAAGTATAAGATTATACAACATTAATATGGATGAAGGAAACTTTCCTATTTTGTAAATGTACTTCATTAGTCTAACTATCTTGAAACAAGTATAACAGTGTTTTATAAAATGTTACATATTTTAAAAACTTGCTTCACCAAATTTTCTACTGGCACTCGAAAAAAGGCAAAAAAGTTCCCAGTATGACAGGAAGAAAAACGCAATTATCTGAATTATTGAAAAAAATATTCAAACATAAATAATAGTAAAGATGAACAGCATAGTTATCTTAAAAACCATAAGGTCTTAGGCAGCTCGTTCAGGTCATGACCTTGGAAGCCATCCCTCTGCCCCCAGCTATGTAATTCTTTCTGCCCACCTATTAAATCAAATGACACTCACCTATCATCACCTGGAACCTGAGAAGGAGGTGGTATTGTGTTGTGCAACCACACCACTCTCAAGCCCTCACAAAGGCCCATGATGGGCAAGGGCTCTCTGGGTCCCAAGCCCTCATCAAAGCCTATGATAGAGAGGGGCTTTCTTGATCATGTGCTTCCTTGGATCTTGAGTTCCAACACTAGACCTCCTGAGAACCCTCTTGCTCTCTGGCTTCCTACCAACAGACTCTGAAGACAGGTAGCCCCTGAACATGGCTCCTGTATGTCTGTATTCCTCACCCTCTCTTCACTGCTTTGGAGAGTCAACAAAGACGCAAATGCTAATATGTTTTGTTTTTCTAATTTACGTGCTTTCAAGAGTTCCAGGAGAGGTGAGGCCTAGCAGTAATGGAATGTGGACAGAGAAGCCAGGAAAATGTGAATGTTCACAGCTTTGTGAATGTGTCCAGGTTGTTCGCTGCATGTCTCTTATTATCTATACTGTTGGGGAAGCTAGGACATAGGTCTAATGACCGTTTGTTCCTCACAGGGTTTTGATTCAGACTAGATTACTGTGGTGACTTTTCATGTGCTAATTTCTGGTGGGTACTGCTATCATCAAGCTTGGTTAATTAAGACCCCTTACTACATCCTAGACTTGTCTGGCCGATCCCTCTTACATCCCGCAACAAAAGACAAGAGGAAGGGTATTTCGGGAATTGAAGGAGGAGTTACTTAGATGCATAAACAAATGTTAATAACTTAATAAATTATGAAAATATGTTCTACCTTTGATTAGGTTTCTGTCTATACTATGTTAAAAATATTAGCTTCATCCTTATTTCTGAACTTTCCAGAAAAGAAACGGTAGACAGGGAACCAAGGCCCCAATATGACCCCAAATGGAAAATCACAGATATTTCTGCTTTTCCATGTTAATCATCAACCACTTCTGAGAACAAAAGAAGTTGAAAGTAAAAAAGAAGTCCCCAAAGTTGGTGTAAGAGAAGGAAGAGAACAAACAAGTGGGCCAGTTTGTTTCATGAAATTTGACTCTCTGTTTCACGAAACTTGATAGACTTAGAAGCCTATCAATTAATTACACTGGAGAAATGCATTTCAAAACATTCAGTTTGCTCAAATCAGCTTGATAACCACCAATACTTAAAGACATTTGATGTTACATGCACTATGTATCTACACACATGTACAAATGAGATTTATCATATTTAATTGGCTCGAAATCAGTAGACAACTGCCCAAAATTATAATATTTGGGAAACCTCCTCCCACATTACTGGTACTGTTCTTAAAATAAATAATGGTGCTGAGTCTACAACTGTGAATATGCTAAAACCCATACAATTTTATGCCTTACATAGGTCTTACGTTACATAAATTATCTCAATAAATCTGTCATAAAAAATTGAGAGAAAAAGCTTTCCTTACTGGCTAACAATTCTCATGATTTAAGTTATGCTGTAATACTTTGTTCAGTAAGCTTTTAATATTTGACAACTCTCAACATACTATCATGAAGTCTTAAAAAACTATCAGTTTTAAAACCTGTATCCTAAGCCTGTAAAGTGCCTAAAGAAAAATCAGAAAGTAAACGATGTCATTAATTTAATGAAGAAGAGAGAGGGAAGGGGTGAAGGGAAGGGAGCATTCCTACTGAGAAAATCTAAAATGCAAAATGCTTTAAAATGTGAAACCTTCTGAGGACCAACACAACAGCACCAAGAGAAAATCCCACACTTGAACTCATGCGTCAGGCTGCATGCAGCCAAAATGAGAAAAACACTAAAAACACCATAAATATTTACCTTCAAGTTATGTGTGCAGACAACATGAAAGTGCTATAAAAATTTATTTTTTGAGCAGGTGTTATTGCTGAATTAGTTAATCCTCCCCCATCAAGTGCTGGGCTCCTATATGGGCGCCAGTTCGTATCCCAGCTGCTCCATTTCCCATCAAGCTTCCTGCTTATGGCCTGGAAAAGCACCAGAGGATGACCAAAGCCTTGCAAACCTACACATGGGGATGTTGGAATCACTTCTCACATGGGGGATGAGCCGAAGAAACTCCAGTCTCCTGGCCTTGGATTAGCTCAGCTCAGGCCATTGCAGCCATTTGGAGAGTGAACCAGTGAATGGAAGATCTTTTTGTCTCCCCTCTCTCTGTAAAACAGGCTTTTCCAATTAAAAAATAATCAAAATTTAGAATACCTTTAAGCTAAAACTAAAAATACTTAAAAAGTTACCTACCAGTTACAAGTTACAAATTAAACATAAATTTTATGTTTAAATGTGAGTCTTAACCCCAAAAATCCCAAAATGTGTAAATATTCAAAAATCTACAATTTGAAACTTTTCTGTCCAAAGCACTTCAAATAAGCATTTTCAACCTGTAGTGAAACAGCCTCAACTCGCTTTCTTTTTTTCCCAAGTGACTAAAGTCTAGAAGAATCCTAAACACCCAAGGGAACAGAGAAGTTGCTATCACCTAGGTGAGGATGTTCCCAGGGAGATACCCAGATCCCCTTTTAAGGATTTCCTGTCTCTTGGCAAAGGAAATTGATCAGTGAAAGAAAGACAAGAACCCAAAGGAACCAGCTCAAAATGGGAGTACCTTTTCATTCTCAGCATTGGTTCAGTATCTCCAGCAGAGAAATCTACAGCTTTTATTTAAAGTGTTGTTATCACTTACTTCCAATACACAACTGCATAATTAAAATTTGCATGTGAACCAGAGAATAGGTAATTCTTTTGCTATTCTAAAAGTCATTAAATGTAGGGTTACAGAAAGGGAGGGAGAGAGAAGCAGAGAAAAAGAGAGTTTCATCCTCTTGGTTCACTCCCCAGATGGCCACACAGGAGCCTGCAATTCCATCAGCTCTTCCACAGGAGCTGGACTGGATGTGGAATACCCAGGGTTACAAACGCTGGCCACTATAGGTTATTCTTATGCCCATTCAAGTTTGAAATCCTTTCCAATCACTGTCATTCAAGGGTTTGGCTACCCTGTTGCTCCTTTAATTGAGTTCTTTGTCCATTCCGGCAAAGGATTTCAAGGTGCAAATATTGCTTCAAGCATAAAGAAAGAAAAAGTCAGTGTCCTCAGGCCCAGCACATTAGCCTAGAGGCTAAAGTCCTCGCCCTGCATGCACCAGGATCCCAGATTCACATCCTGGCTGCTCCACTTCACATCCAGCTTCCTGCTTGTGGCCTGCGAAAGCAGCAGAGGACAGCCCAAAGCCTTGGGACCCTGCACCTGCATGAGAGACCTGGAAGAAGCTCCTGGATCCTGGCTTCGGATCAGCTGAGCTCCGGCCAGCAGGCAAATGATCTTTCTTGCTGAATATCTGACTTTCCAATAAAAATAAATAAATCTTAAAAAAAAAAAAAAACTCAGTGTCCTTATTACAGATCCTTTTATCCTCCATGAAACTTATTACCAGCATTTCTCAGAAGATTTCAATTTAAAGCCTGGAGGTGAAGGATGTAGAACTATGTTGAGAATTAGGATAAAATCATGAAAAGTTTTACTATTTATTATTTAAAATGCAATGAAAAGCAAATATTTTTTGCTCAGACAATAGAAAGAAAAATGCATACTATGTATTTTGTTTTATATTACAGAGTTAGTTCGGGTTTACACAAAGCCTTTAAAAACCCCACTTTCCGGGATTAAAACTAAAAATGAAGGTTTTATGAGAATATTACCATTTGGTGCAGTGGGAGGTGACCAAATGCCATAATATTTCGGCAAATATTTTCGTAGCTCTAGAAGAACACTGTCATTACAATCAGCAGCATACACCTGAAACAAAAATGTACACTTGTTAATCTCTCATACATATAAGGCCCTTTATAACAGCCCTACACTTTTCATAACACAACTGAGTCACTACTCCCATGGTACAAAATTCAGTAGGAAGTAAACATGTAATAAGAGATTACTGTGTCTCGAGTAAAAACTATGCATTATCTGTCAAACATCTCCTTTGACACTGTATAATACCAGGGTTTCAATGTCTTTGAACTGTTTTACAACTATGCAAGCTGTAAATCAATGAGAATAAAGAAGATAATTTCTGTTTATAGACAGAAATGCTAATAACTCTGACCAAAGGAGGTACAGGTAATTTCCTTATCATATTCTCCCCCTTATTCCAAATCAATGTGGACTTTCTTCTCTTTTATAACAGCTTTAATACCTGCCTATATTCCTCATTAAATAAATCTTAAACATGTATTTACTTTATATTGCTAAGGAAATTGTGATTTTACCTTCTTTTAAAATATCCTTTTGGTCCCTTGGTGAGATCAGGGGACCATCTCTGTCCCTTGGTGAGATCAGGGGACCATCTCTGTCCCTTGGCACTGATACGATATGGCAGTAAGGAATGGTGCAGCATCTCCCTGATCCCCCACCCCAGCATATTTCTACCCCTGCAGTTAGAGGAGGAAAGGAGGGGTCTTTTCCCTCACCAACCCCCCAATCCCTCGGAATCCCTCCTGGAGACCCATATTGCTCTGCAATCCCCTCACTATGTAACAAACATTTAAATATAAATACATTTAAATTTTAAAATATCATCCTTTAACACAGTAAGTCTGATTTTCTCTCTGCCTTTCAAATGAAAATACAAACTTCTCACTTTCATCAACCATGTAACCATTATAAAAAATTATTAAAAATAAAGAAAGAAAATACAAATTTCAGAATAGATTGAAAGTAAATAGCTTGGCAGACATTTTATCCAATAAATTTCTTTGAACTATTCTCCAAATTATCTAAGACCATGAACATTACCTGATGTAAAATGCTTATGAAAGGTTATATATGTTAAATCATAGTCAAGTAGTTACATATAACATTAACTCCACAGAACTGAGTCCAGTGGACTCAACAAACATTCAGATCTTTATAAGCTTACATGAAGTTTATGGCATAGTTAACACTGAAACAAAATATATATGACATGTATACATATATGTTTAGCACATTCATTAGGTTCAGTAACATGTGCATGATATGTACTGCCTCCATACAATTATGAAAAATTATGAAATGTATTTAAAATTAGTTTAGCTCCATAACAGAAATGCAAGAGAGATAGTACATTTTCTCCTTAAATACTTGTAATTGGGGTCAGTATTGTGGTACTGTGTGCTAACTTCCCACTTGCAACACTAGCCTCCATATATGTACCAATTTGAATCTCAGCCACTCTACTTCTAATCCAACTCCCTGCTAACGTGACAGGGAAAACAGTGCAAGAAGCTCATTCTCCCGGGCCCTTGTCATCCACAGGAGACATGCACAGAATTCCAGCTCTGGCCATTATGCCCATTTGAGAGAAAACCAGTGAATCAAATTTCTTTCTCTCTCTGTCACTGTGCCTTTGAATAAATAAGTCTTAAAATGTTTACTTTTCATATAAAAGTTTTTCTTTTTATTCGAAAAGCAGAATGATAGAGATCGTGTAATCACTGTGTTCATTGTCCCTGAGGCCTGCCTTGAACCAAGCTAAAGCCAGGAGCTGAGAACTGAATTGAGATCTCACACATCAGTAGCAAGGACCCAGCAAGTGCTACTAAGAGAAATTTGAATTAAAACAGAGTCAAGACTTAAAGCAAGCATTTGTTTTAAGTGGGTGTCCCAAATGGTATCCTAACTGCTCTGTTAAACATTCACCTCTTGATTTTTTTTTAAGTAGCATGACTGGGGCTGGCATTGTGATACACTGGTTTGAGTCAATGCTTACAAGCCAGCATCCCATAACATAGTACCAGTTCATGTCTCAGCTGCTCTGCTTCTGATCCAACTCGTGGCTAATGTGCCTGGAAAAGCAGGGAAGGACAGGCCAAGTGCTTGGGTCCCTACCAAAACAAGGACTCAGATAAAGTTCCTGGCTCCTGCCTTTGACTTGGCCCAGTCTCAACCACTGGGATCAGCTGGGAAATAAAACAACATATGAAAGATTTCTCTTTGCCCTGCAAATAAATGAATCTTTTCTTTTTCTTTTTCTTTTTTTCAAGGAATAAGGCTTGTATTTATCTTGCCTGCTGTGTTGCAATAATCCAAACACCTTTCCATAAAGGGATAGCAAAAATAAGAGTGTAACAGATTAAAAAAAGGAAAAAAAAACATAGCTGAATTGGGGGAAGGTGAAAATGTATTTTGGCCTTAAGCCAGGAACTCCATCTGAGTCCATGTTTGGCAGGTTCAAGTCCCCATCGTGAACTTCTGAAGGGGTCTGTCAGCTCAGGGACCAAGCAGACCTGAAGAGATAGTTACTATCCTGAAACACAGATTATAAAAAATATTTTTAAATGAACAGTGAAAAAAACCTCAAATATCTTTTTCCTTTTCCAACCACAATAACAACAATACTGCTGGCAGGAAGGCTGACTTTTAAAAAAAGGAAAGAAAAGACAAAACAAAAACCCAGGGAAGCAGCAAATAAAAACAGAAAATAAAGGGGATCGATAACCAAAACAGAGACAACAACAAAAAACACTATGAAGATCTTTGTCAAATGGGTAATTCCATATAAAAACATAATCAACTATAACTACTTCCACGTAAAAAAATTTTGCAGACGTTTAAATCAACTGGATCATTGATTAAACATCTATAACTCCCTAGGAAAGAGGTAAAGAAAGAATAAATCAAAAACAGTGGTGACTGAAGGGGACTGAAGAGGGAGAGAGAAAAAAGGAGACAGAAAACAAAGGAAAGGTAGAGATAGACATTAGCTTGCTGCCCTTATTACAGGTAAGTTCTACCAAGTATTTAAGGAATGTAAACCATTCAATAAAATAGATAAGGAAGGAATCCAAGATGGCCAAACAGGGAAAACAAATGCTGATTTTCACCAGGGAAAAATAACAGAAAAAAAAAATAGAAATGCATTTCCAAGGATTATTGGAAAGAAATTCTACAGAAAGAAGAGAAATGTCATGAAGCAGTGAGTACAAACACTCAGCAATGCGCAAAGACAACACCCACCACTCCCTTAGCCTGCGGCTGGAAGACAGTCATCTTCTGGGAGCAAGGTAAGAAGGGACTACAACCCACGTCACTGGTACTATTGGCTGAGGGAGAATCTTGCAGAACACACTGACTCAGTCCAGCCTGGTGTGTTAGGGGAGGCGGGGGGCAGGGTACCCACCCAACACTGTGAAGGGATAGTGCATTTCTTTCACCCTATACCCAGCAAGGGCAACTAGTGATGATCAGGGAGAAATTGCTATCATAACAATCCCAGGAAGACTGAGTGGTCACACACATGTGCCTACATATCAGGATACCACAGTCCCCACTGGCTCTGACTCCAGCCTGAAAGGTTGGGAGAGCACTAGGAACCCATTAAGGCCTTGAGGTACTCCATTCCCTCTCACTCTATCACAAGCTCTAGGGCTTAAACTGCCAAGGTAGAGCACAAGCAGACAGCCAACTTTGGTAACACACCTGTTTTATCCATGGACAGGGCAGGTTTGTGAGACTATGACTGTGGGAATTCTGGGACTGCACGATGGGCCAAGGGTTGGATCTGGTTCTCTGCGCAATCATTCTAAATGCTTTGGAGGTTCTGGGCTCCCTGAGCGCAGGCTCACACTGAGAACCACGCATATTGTTAGTGTGGTTCCTCTGCCTCTGTAGGTGGGGGCTGGGGCCACTGTGGGCTAATCCCAGGAATTAATCACCGTGGCAGAGCAAGTAAGGCTGTAATTATAATGGTGGAAGTGGTCATACCCTCTACTCTGCTGATGGAAAAGGAGACCGAGACCTGCTATGTCAATCTTGGGTGTCACTCTGGCTTCTTTCCCTTTCATTGAGCACTGAGCATAGCTGCCTGGTCTCATCCAGCACATGCCCCTGGATATCCGCTGAACACGTCACAAAGGCACCTTTCCGGGATATAAGCCATAATCCATCAGAGGAGAAAACCAACAAATGTTCCCACAAATGCCTAAAAATAAATGCAGAACCACAAGAAACATAACAAGGAAAACAATTACCCCACAGGGAACCTCAGAATGAGCAGAGCATGATGGGCCCATTGATGAAATGCATGAAAAGAAATTCAGACAATAACCCTAAGATCAGTCAACAAACACAGAGAAACTAACACTAATACATGAGATAAAGAAATTCATTTAGGACATGGGTGAAAAATTTTGCCAAGCTATAAAGATGCTGAAGATAAATCAAACTGAAATGTTTGAAATGAAGAACTCAGAGTCAGAAAATGAAATGGAAAGCCTTAGCAACAAACCTGGTGATACAGATGACTATCTGAGCTAAAACACAAACTCTTAGAAATAGTCGAACAAAATACTAAAAAGAAAAAATATAGAAAAACTGAAAACAGTATTCAGATTTCATGTGATATTACCAAACAACCAATATTACCAAACAACCAAATACATGTCTTGGGAGTTTCTGAAGGCATAGAAACAGAATGAATCAGAAGGTATACTCATTGAAGTAATGACACAAAACATCCCTATTTTAGAAAAATATAGCCATCCAAAACAGGAAGTACATAGAACTCCTAACAGACATGATCAGAAAAGATCTTCACACAACACATTATAGTCAAACTTTCAATAGTACAGCAAAAAGAAAACATTCTCAAATTTGCAGGAGAGAAACAGCAGATTACCTTCAGAGGATTCCCATTAAGACTAAGAGCTGATTTCTCCTACAGGTTAGGAGAGAATGGAGAGGTACAGTCCAAGTCCTAAAAGAAAAAAACTGTCAGCCCAGAATACTGTACCCAGAGAGGCTCACATTCACAAATGAAG